TCATTTGGATGCACGTCTTACCGCATTGTCTCTCTCTTATAACCTCATTATTTCTCACTAATAACCTAACTTAAGCAACACATGCCCTTGATACGAATTCTAAAAGTGACGTTTGCTTAACTGTCAACTGTTCCGCACAAAAGAGGGTTTTATTAGGCACTCCGTTGTTTCTTGTTTAATTACACACGTTCCGTCGAACTGTCATATAAAAAATGAACTTACAGGCTGTGAGTCAGAAGCGCCAGACTGTCCTTGCAAAGTTGGAACTGCCCCACTTTATAGAAACAGCCTGGCAGTGAAAGTGGGCGATCGCATGATGATATGCATATCAGGGTAAGAGGGACTGTGAAGATTCTGTTTGAATGTTAAGCTTCCAACTCCTGAAGGCAGCATATATGATATAAATGATGACAGGATATTCATTTTTGGGGCCTATTCCTTTTAGCCTGTGTGGTACACTCCAGGTGCACTCACTCTTCCTGTGTTGTAGCAGAAACAAGGAAGATTGTGTTGCACACTTGCAATTTTGCAGACAGAATCTTCCCCACCTCCTTCCCACTTTTGCAGGTCCCTAAAGCGCAGACAGATAGCTGTTAACTGTCAAGTTGTTTGGCAGCCTCTCCAAGCACCACCTCCGGAGCTTTCTCCAACTGTCCTTCTCCCCGTGTCGGGTGCCAGAAGGACAGAGACCATCTTCTGCTGCCCCGGCGCCTTCACCTGCCTTTCCCCTGGTGTTAGTTCGCTTTAATGCATGATGCCCTCAAGCAACTGTCTGCTCCCTCTTCACACTCACTGTCGATCTTGCTTTTTCCTCTTATGCTACCTCTCTTTTTCCTTCTGTCTGTTACCTGTCTCAGCCCTGGGAATGGCTGGCAGGGAACACAAGTGTGGGATACGATTGTGCATCTAAGTTGAATTACAGGTACTAGGGCTGTCAATAATTTAAAATCATGTGATCAATTGACTGAAATCAGCATTTCTCAACAGGCGTGTTCTGAGAACATTGAAGGACGCTGGAAGGTGGCATTTGTTTAAGGCGGGTTTATACTAAAGATTCACGGTGAGACAAGCTAAAACCTGTAACCGCTTGCAAAAGAATACGGTCTGCAACATTCTAACTAGGGATGCACCGATACCACTTTTTCCAGTACTCGCCCGATACGGATACTTTTATTTTTTGGTACGTGCCGATACCGAGTACCGATAACAATATTTTCATTGCATTTGTAAATTTTTAAAATATTGGTTACAGAAACCAAAAGAGTATGTATAATGTTAGTTGGTTAACTTCATTTATCAAATAGATACAGTCAAACCAAAATTTATTCAGACACCTTCAACATTTCTCACATTATCACAGTTTATTCGCTATAGTTTAGAAAATGGTAATAAAATATGATAAGAACTCAGAGTTAAACTGTGTCAGAACAAATTCAGCTTGATAATGTCAGATAACTTTGATAGAAAGGTATGTAATGGATTACAATAAACCAAAAATTATTCATACAGCTGTCAATATGTACACAACTATCAATACTTTGTCGGGTGACCCTTAGCCTTAATGACAGCATATAGTCTCCTGGGCATGCTGTCAACCAGGTTCATGCAAAAAAATCGGACTCGGTCTGAATAATTTTTGGTCCCAAATTTGTATCAGTTTTACTGAGAATTTACTGAAGAATTTTTGGGTATAATTTGTCACAGTTTACTTTATTTTCCTATGCTCACTTACATAAATGAACTATAGTGTCCTGCACCCACTGGTAAAAGAAATATAAAATATTATATCTGGTCTTTGAATAATTTTTGGTTTGACTGTATATTTTCACACTTAATTATGCCCATTAAAATGTATTTTACAAGTTTTTGTTACTACTCAGTGTGATTTGCTTACCAGCTCGCGCACATCAGCTATACAGGCGTTAATACTGAATGTTTTATATTCATTGCATACATGTACTTCGTAGACATCTTTAATCTCTAACAACTCCATTCTGCTGTCTGTTGTCGGTGTTTCTTTGTCTGAATATGGCACTTATCACATGCTGTGTGGTATCGGCGTTTGGTATCGGGGCATTTTAACGAGTACGAGTACGAGTACGAGTACAAGTACAAGAGCTCAGTATCGGGCCTCAGGGATATGCATCCCTAATTCTAACACTTCCCCGGACAAATCTGTGAACTTTAAAGTGAACGCTCAAAATCCATTTGTCCGAAATTACGTAGACTATGCCGAAAAAAATGGGGCATCCATTAATTGAAGAAAAATGTTTTTCGCTTCACATTATCTGTGCAATTTAAAAACTTTCTTATTCTTATTTCTTTACAGAAAAGCCACGAGAAGCATGCTTTGACCCTGGGAACATAATGAATGGAACTAGACTGGGAATGGACTACAAGTTGGGATCAACTGTAACATATCAGTGTGATTCTGGGTACACCATTGCAGGACCACCCACTCTCACCTGCATCATGGGGGCTGATGGGAAACCTGTATGGGACAAAGCTCTGCCTACGTGTAAAGGTAGGACCTGAAAATGCAGTTTCTGTACAGAGGCATTAAGGGTTAAATAGGAGTTTGGCTGTTTATTGTTGCAGAGTAATGAGGCAACTTGTCACATTAATATACAATTCAACAGACATGTGTTCACAGGTGTGTGTAAACTGATTATTTTACAAATCCTCAGAATGTGGCTTTTTTTTTTGTACTCAAGTGGTACATAATGTGTTTTTACACTGATGACAGACTTATATATTGGCTTGCATCTATCAAATTCTAAATTAAAATGAATGAGATTAAGTGGCTTTTGTTTGTCAAATATTTAATTCACTGGATTATTTAAAAATAGACATCATGACATGAATATTTAATACATAAATAATTTTTCCCGTTCCATTACCATGATTAATTATTCATACTATGGCATACTTTTTTCAGTTTTAACACCGCCCACTAATAATGTAAAGTTTTAATCATTGCTTTTTTTTTTCACAGATTGGTTGGTAGTTTATTGATTTTAGAACCTTGATTTAGCCTTTTTTTCCTGCAGTTTTAAATTCAAAATATTGATGCATGTTAACTTGATTAAGCACTTCTTCGTCTAAAGAAATTAGCAGCAGCCTGCTTATCAGAGACAGTATTCCTTTTGTTGTTTGCAATCTTGAGAGTTAATTGATTAGGCCTTTGTCACATGCATAGTTCTACTCTGTCACACTGCCAGTACCCAGCCAATATTCATTGGGTTTGGAGAAACCGTCTGGTGCTCCCATTGGCTTACACAGAGAGAGACAGATGCAGACAGAGGTCTTTGTCCCTCATTGAGAGATGAGAGAGCTTGGGTGGTGACAAGTGCCACTCATTCACACATTTCCTGTCAACCCGAGACCTTTCTTGATTCTTCAGCTTCCCCCTCTGTCTGTCTTACATTTCTTTTTTTCAAACCTGCGTTTTGGTCAAATATTCAGGCAAAGCATAGACATATCAATTAGTGTTAATAAGTGATTTGAAGATTTGCAAAAGTAATCCAAATTATTTGATGTATATATTCTGTGTATATTATTTATGTATTTTATCAAATTCATGAAAAAGCACTTCATATGCTTCTGTTTTCTGTTTCAGAACCAAGATAGATGAAAATAAATAAATAAAAACTGTAGAACTAGATATGGTGTTCAAATTTCACACGTTAATTTAGGGACCAATTCTCAAGTAGTATGACTTTTGCCTCAGTAAACTCCTACCCCATACAGTTTTTTTAGGTATGGGAAGGGTTAAGGGGTCTAAAATATCATCATGCAAAATAAGAGATTAATATGTGCTTTATAAGTACAAATAAATAGCCAATATATTAGTAATAGGCATGCTAATAAGCAACTAGTTAGTAGTGAGAATTGGTCCCTACACTAAAGCATTACCCAAATTTTATGTTGCACTTCAAAGATATTTCAACAATTTATCATATCCAGTGAAGTGCATATCGATGTGGTTCAATAATCCGACCAATCATAATTGCACAAACACATTTCCAATGCTCATCCTCCAACCCGTCTTGGTTGAGTCAGTGTTGTTATGTCCAGCTCAGTTGGTCCACTCAAATAACCAGATATTAATTTTGTTTCGTGCTGCTAGCAGCGCAGAAATCGCACACTTCACTCTTATGTAATTCCCAGTGTTTTTTGTAGTAATAGCTCAAATCATGACAGAAGAAGCATGTGCTCCCTCTGAACCCAGCGTGTTCAAATACAACACCAGGTTATAGATATGAACATGCAATGAACATCATTGACCCCAATCCGAAGGTCAAACAAGGGTTTTCGCACCTCAATAGCATCCGCTGATTATTTAACCTCTTTTGATGGAGATGGAAAGCTGCTGACGCCCTTTGCGAGACAGCCTCATTTCCGCACTCCAGGAACATTTTGTTTGTCCTCACTGATGGAATTTCCAGCACGTTGCTTCGCCCATCTTTATGCATGAGCTCTAACTGTGGGGTAGAGACATATTCCTATACAGGTCATTGTTGAGCTAACATAATCATCTGATTGTGTCATGAGAGATGCTTTATTTGATCTTAATCATCCACACAGAGTGTACGCAAGCCCACATTCGCAGTCTTTAGTTTTATCATATTTATAAAAGAAAGATGCAGCTTTACGATTCTCTCAGAAAACAGCCAAGCTCCTGGAGGCGCGCAGTGGGCAGAGCTAAAGAGTGATGAGCACTTGAGCCCCGATTGCCAACAAAACACAGACATTTGATGCAGTTTCACTTACCATCTGCAGTTCTGAATCATGACTGGGATCTTTTATAGCTGGGACCGCTCCATCTTTTTAGTATCAAAAATGTTGCAAATCCAGCGCCGAACTGGGCCTTGTTTATAAAACGTTCGATCGTCAACAAACACACTTGCGAAACTCCGTTACTGCCCCGGAAAACAAACTGCATCCGCTGTTTACGTAACGCTGGATTCTTCAGGAAGCTGAACAAGGTTATCTTTCTCTTGCAACCAAAAACACCTCTTTAGATACATTCTTCTCGAGCGAGTTCCGTGCAGCACTGCTGAATGAAGTGCGTTGATGGGCGTGCTCTTGCTCTCGCTCTGGTCGATGTGTGCCGATTGCCAACAAAACGCTCTTCTGGGAGAAATGCCCATATAAGGAGTTCCACCCTTCATTATGTCATGAAGAGCCACGATCGAAAAAAAAAAACAAAAAAACTTTCAGACACTTGTAAGAAACCTGGAAGTGTGTATTTGGCACAGAAATACTCTGTTATACATCCAAATCGTTTTTTGAAACTTTGGCCATTTTTAGCGTGAGAATCAAGCTCTTTAACAGTGTAAACAACTCTGAATGCATGAAACAGCATTGTACCCCCTCCCCCTTAATGCATTCTGTATTTATTTATACAGTACATAAACATTTTTAAATGATACGATAAAAAAAATAATAGGCCTATTTGATTTTCATGCTTTATTTGATCTTAATCATCCACACAGAGTGTACGCAAGCCCACATTCGCACAATCCATTAGTTTTCTGCCTGCTAAGAATCCCCCCTGGCTCCTCTATTAGTTAAGTGAGTATGTCTACCAGAGACAACTGGATCCTGGAGAGGTTGGACAGCCTGGCTCAGTTGATATCAGCCTCTTTAAATAACGGTAGCATGGATTTTTTTTTTTTAATAATGTAGTTTTATGGTAGCAGGGATAAACGTTTTTTTTTTTTTTATATATATATATATATATAATAATGGAATGTTGCAGTCAATTGCAGTTCAACCATGCAATTTTGCTGCTTCAGTCAGGCAGTCCTGTTGAAACCCCAAGCAAGCTGATTTACTACAGTTTTATACAAACTGGAAACATCCTAGCAACTGTCTAGCAACTACTCAGAACACATTCACAACCACATGACAAGGCCTGTGTCACATCAAACATCAGATCCCTCTTCAAACTGACAAAGTATTCAAAGGCTCATATAACGTGCAGACTTCAGACTGTTTAAAACTTCTAGGCAAAGGCTATCAATCCAACATTCAAAGTTTGCCTTGAACTTGACTTCTGTAGTTGTGATGGTGCTGGTTTGGTCCTTTTCTAGCTGGTGAACCACACAGCAATCCAGTTCAACAGTAAACATAGCCAGTGAAACTGGTTTACCAGGATAGTCTTTCTGGTGTAAATAAAGAAGTCTTGGTGCATATTCTCGTAAAGCAACATACTGTAATTGGGTCACTAGCATTCTTTTCAGCTGGAAATGTAAAATTGTTTTTGTATTTTTTGTAATATAATGTATTGAGACGAAAATGTTTAATAGTATTAGTCGCATTTTAGTCATTTGAGTCTTTCATAGTTTTAGTCTAGTTCAGGGGTCGACAACCTTTTCGGCATGACGAGCCATTTTAGCCATTTTAAAAACTTTCAGACACTTGTAAGAAACCTGGAAGTGTGTATTTGGCACAGAAATACTCTGTTATACATCCAAATCGTTTTTTGAAACTTTGGCCATTTTTAGCGTGAGAATCAAGCTCTTTAACAGTGTAAACAACTCTGAATGCATGAAACAGCATTGTACCCCCTCCCCCTTAATGCATTCTGTATTTATTTATACAGTACATAAACATTTTTAAATGATACGATAAAAAAAATAATAGGCCTATTTGATTTTCATGCAAATAGTTTCTGAATATTTTACATACATTGTTTTTTAAATACAAAATACAAACAAATATGAAAGAGATACAAATTAAACAAATTTTTCAGATACATTAGGTTTACTTAACATATTTATTGAACATGTTTTGTTGGTTAACATTAATGACACGGATAGGTACTTAATTAGGAATGCTGTCCCTTTAAGACTGAAGGCATGCATGTAATACTGACACACGTTCACCTGTTTACGTTCACTTAATCCATAACCAACTGTATTTACGTGAGATACTCTACACGATAGACATTTGGACTGCTGTGTCTGTATTTGAGCACTGAGAACTGATAGCGCACTGTATATGAGAACTGAAGAAGTGTAGTGTGCATGAGAGAGAGCACTTCTATCAGTGCGATTCCACGTAGACTTCACTAACTTTAAGTTAATCGACAACGAATTGTGACTCCCGGGAAAAACGGGACATCTGGTCACCTTATCCCTACCCCTTTGGGTACATTGTTTCAGATCGCTAGTTCGCGTTTTGGTAGCCTATCCATTCACTGCGACTGCCATACTGAGACTAGATATGCAAACGTCCCTTATCCGATTGCAATCCAATAACAGGGATGCACATTTTGAAGGACAAGACTTATAGGATGCATTTTGAATGTCCGGTAGTCCTCAAATAACATTATAGTCCCGTCTCGTCTTAAAATGTAATTTTAAAAGTATTTCAGGCGAGAATGTAGTTGTTTAAAACTCAAATCTGCGGTTTATTTATAAAGACAGCGCGTATTTGAAAATGTGCTTCACTGATTTCGGAGACGTGAGCTCCACGCCATCATCGGGCGCTCAGTACTCATGTTTCCCGACGAGA